TGTAGAAATGTTACGGAAGGAATTGGTAATTGACACTCAAAGAGAGGCACAAAATGGAAGTAAAATAAGAAAGTTTATTTTGTTGACAAAGGTCAGTCACACCTAAAAGCAGTGCCAGGATCAATGATGTACTGGATTACAACTCCTTCTTTTATAGGGTTTTACAGCCTTGACCTTATTCGGGTGGTTACATTTCATTCTCGGTTCCCATGGCTGATATATAAATCATGGTCACAAGACAGTTAAATTTCAACCCAGACGTAGTAATTCTTCGTAATTAGGGGAGTTTACATTTTAAGATTTGCCTGCCTGTCTATCCTAGCCCATAGGAAGCGGGTGTTCAGGGTCAGGAAAGCAAATGTTAAAAATGGTTCTTTTCTTCTTGACACTTTTACAATCATGTGGCTTATAGAACTTCGGAGCCCAGAGTCCCGATGTGCTCTTTTATCTCAGGATGAGACCAGATGCCTCATTCAGTGGTTAATGCCTTTGGTGTCTGCAAATCACCCAAAGCCCCTGAAAATTATCCTAAGGGTAAACAGCAGATAAAACAAAATGATCTTAAAGGAAATCTGTGAGCACTCAGGGAGAAAAATGAGAGTAACTGGCATTTGAACCAAGACCACGGCAGGCCTCTTCTACTCTTCCAGGACAGGGATGCAGAGGTCAATTCTGAACTCTTACAGCCAAGAACACAGGGTCTCTCTCCCCCATCCCCAAGCCAGAGCACTTCAGCATTGTGCATAATGCATCCAGCTTTCCTGTTGCTGAGTTTGAGTCCTAATTGAGTGCACTTGGGCGGCAGAAACTTCATTCTTCTGCCCAACCCACATCTGATTGTGGCTTGCTGAGAACACTGGACCCCAAACTTACTGTTTTACTTGTATGGCTATGGTTCCATGTAAGCAGAGGCAACCTGAATGGACCTCACCTTTCTGTGCCCCTTACCTACCCACCTACCGACCCAGCATGACTTCAGCACCTGGAGCAAGTGTCTTTCAGAATGTTGTCATTGTTCCCACCCTCATCTCCAGAGCACTGGCTCAGGGATTTTACCTAAGAGGAGAAGCAGGCCATGAACAGCTCTTGATCTCTTTCCTAAGAAACTGGCTTAGCCAGCAATGCTGGGATATGCCTGTAATCCAAGCACTCTGTAGGCCAAGGCAGGAAGATCACCTCGGGTTCAAGGCCATCCTGGCCACCTCATACTGAGTTCAAAGGCAGCTTCAACTACATAGGGAGACCCTGTCTCAAATGAAAAGAAAAGAATCTGGCTTAATTGGCAACACTGTATGAAGTTTATACCTGAGAGCACTCTCAAGAATCTTGGAAGCTCAGTTGAAAGACAACTGTGAAGAGATTCTTGCATGTAATGAACATCTATTGGAGGCTAACTACTGTGCCAGAGAAAGCTGGCAAGTGAAACAGAGGAGCCCTTCTCAGGGCCAGAACACATACCAAATAAGAACCTCACAAACAATTCCTTTAAAGGACTTACAATGTGGTTACAGTCTTTGGTAGAAAACTTGTGCTCTATCAGAACATTGGGACAATAAATCACCGGAGTTGTACAGCTTGTGTGTTAAGAGTGTAAGAGATGCCTTCCAAGCTCAAGGTCATGTCAGGTGGCTATGGGCATTCCCAACGTGCACCTGCATGAGGAACATCACAGGCTCAGCACTGTTTTGGAAGGGGCTGGAGGAGTGGATGTCGCTAAAACACAGTCATGACTAAATAAGTAAATGAGAAGATAAGTAAGTTGCAGAGGAAGAGGGACCAATAACCAGAGAGGCTATATTTTCCAAAATGTCCATTTTACAACAAAATAAAAGTGGAAAGCTTGCACAGAAACAAGAAATCATTACCCAAATAGCAGAAGAAAAGCACTTGGTAGAAACAGCCTGAGAAGGATCAGATGTCAGATTCAACCTAAATATTTCAAAGGAGCCATTATAAAATGTTCACAAAAGTTAAGGATATCATGATGAAATAATAAAATGAAAGTAGGATAACAGTGCCGTACGAAATTAAGGAGATAATCTGCTAGAAGACAAAATAAGTAAAACTCTTGAAGACATAGGCAAGAATAGACAAGGACATTCTGAAGAGACTACCAATGGTGCAACAAATAATACCCAGAATCAATAAATGGGATGGTACCAAGTTAAAAAGCTTCAGCACAACATAGTGACACACTGTCTCAAAAAACAAAAACAAAACAAAACAAAACAAAAAAAGCTTCAGCACAGCAAAGGGAACAACCAAAAGAGTGAAAAGAATGGGGAAATTTTTTGCCAGCTATTCACTGGAGAGAAAATTAAGAACTAGAATATATAAAGAACTCAAAATGATTAGATCCAGAAAAAAGCAAACAAATGATCCAATTAAAAAAGGACAACTGAAATGAAAGCCACTTTTCAGAAGAATACAAATGGTCAATAAAAACATGAAAAATATTCAACATCACTGACTATTAGAAAAATGCAAAGTAATACAAAATCGAGATAGCATATTATGGCGGAAATAATGTAATCATCAAGAAATCAATAACAAATGCTGGAAAAGATATGGGAAAAAATAAACCACATTGGTGATGGGAAAGTAAACTAGTACAACCACTGTGGAGATTCCTTAAAAAACTAAAAATAGATAATTGATTGACCCAGCTATTTTTCTTGTAGGGATCTTCCTGAAAAAGTGTAATTCATCATGTTACAATGAGACATGCATACCATATTCATAGCACCACAATTTATTATAGTGAAAACTAGGAAATGATCTATATGCCCATCAACAGATGAATGGGTAAACAAAATGTGGCATTCACACACAATGTAGTTCTACTCTGCCATGAAAAAAGATTAACTTGAGGCCCTCATAGGTAGATGGATGCACCTTGAGATTGAAATATTAAGTGAAATAAGTCAGACACAGAAGCTTAATTGCGTACTTTTTCTTCTGTAAGAAATTCAAATATATAGAGTGGGAGCAAGGTAAAAGATAAATAGTAAACAGGGTGATGTTTTTCAAACAGATGAAGGAACAAGAGATGAAGGGAGAGGAAGGGAAGGAAGGGAAAAAGGATGGGAGCAAAAGAACTGGAAGAAGGAGACCAAGAGGTGGAAGGAGCAGGGAGGGGTGGGCAGGGTATAATTAAGAATTGAGAAGAGTTATGTACTTATAACCAACTCCCTAGGAAAAATGTAATAATGATGTACTGCAAATGTGTACTCATGTAAACAAAAAAGTGCATGAATAAATAAGAGAGAAAGAGCCAGATAGAAATTCTGGAGTTGGAAAATTCAGTAACTGAAATGAAAAATTCATTACAGGGATTCAAAATGGTGGAAGAATCCTCAAGCTTCAAGGTTTATTGATAAGAATTTAGGGAAGGTGAAGAACAGAGAGGTAAACACAATAAACAGAAATGAACAGAGACTCAAAGAAATGTGGACAGTATTAAGTGCACCAGATATACATAATCAGAGTAGTAAAGAGAAAGGAGGGAGGGGAAACAGAGAGGGGGAGATATTTGAATAATGATGGTTTAAAGTATCTTCAGTTTATCGAAAAGGTACAACCTATATATGCAGCAAGCTCAGTCAACTTCAAGTTCAAGTAACATAAACATAAAGATTTCCACAAATAGATACATCAGTGTAAAAATGCTGAAAAGTCAAAAACAAGGAGAAAATTAGTTCATATGTATTTCAACTTTTTATTCACTATAGTTATTTTCAAAATGAATTCTAAAGTATATATTAAATAGTAAATTTTCTTTATGATTTAATTCAGAAACAATTACTAAGTAGAAATATATAAGGATGTCATACAAATTGTAGCAATTACATGATAAATTGTAGAAGCTTTGTTATAAAATAAAATTTGAAAAGCCAGATTATAAAATGTTGCATAAATAAAAAAACGCCTGCAGGGCTAGGGATTTAGCCCACTGGTAACATGCCTGCCTCACCAGCACAAGGTCTGAGTTCGATCTCCAATACTAAAAACATTAAATAAATGAATATTATTAAAAAATACACACATATATTGACATAAATGGAACAGGAGATTTAAAAAAAATGAAAAGGTGCAGTTGATTGACTTGGCCAGAAAATGTCATTATGGAATATATTTCTTTCTTATTTAACTTACCCATATTTCTACGGTAATGTAAAACTAGACGAGAAGAGAGAAGAAATGAGTGGAAGAATTAAGATTTCCTGGAACTATACATAAACCCATCTTTTCTTTCCTCTTTACCAATGTCATTTTCCCATTGGATGTACTTCACTCAAAGTCTCCGTGTAAGTTAAAGTAAACAACCCCAATCTCTGGGAGAGCCATCCTGGCCCTCACAACTACTGGTCTTGGTGCTCATCCTAGGGCCACACAAAATTCCACAGAATATCAATATCAAGCCCACTAGGACTGCGAGAGGTCAAGACAAATTAAGACCAAGCTCTAATCACAACTGAGCACACACATATGAATATTGTCCTGGCCACAAAAATGACCAAGCACTGCCACCCACACTGGCTCATATGTGCAGCTGAACTTCTTTGCCAACCACACTTTCCCTCCTTCCAGATGAGATGTATTAAGATATTCACGTCTACAGCAAGCCTCAACATCACTTCACACAAGCTCAGGGCCTAGAATAAATGCTCAGGCACACTTACAGTGACAAGCTTCACTATTCCCCACAGGTACACATTCTCCTTTGTTGTAATGTGCAATACAGCAAGCATTTTCAGCAACAGTTGTGCTTCCAGTGGGTTTTTACAGAACACTGAAAATTAGAATAGTCATTTCTTCAAAGTGACTCTTTCCATCTTTAACCTTAAAGAGTCTATATGAAGGGCTTTATTCTCCCTAGGTAGATATTAGATGTTTCTTTTACAAAAGATAAATGCTAACTTTCATATAGCAGAAAAAACAAAACAGATTTTCTGGAAAATTAGTTTAATTTTTCATGATTTCCCTAGCCTAAATCATCATTAAGTAGAGAAAAACTTTATTGTAATGACTTTTCCTAGAGCCCTTTTCATGTCTTTATTTCTCAGGCTGTAGATGAAAGGGTTTAGCGTGGGAGTCACCACTGTGTACATCATGGCAGCTGCGGTATCTTTCTCTGTTGAGTGAAATGATGAAGGGTTGAAATACAGAGATATTATGGTGCCATAGAAGAGGAAAACGACAGCCAGGTGGGAGCCACAGGTGGAGAAGGCTTTCCATCTTCCTCTCCTAGATGGGACCCTCAGGACAGCCCACACTATAAGGATATATGACACCAGAATACAAGTAAATGGAGCTATCATGATCAGCCCTGCTTCATAAAGAATTATCATTTCATTGAGATGTGTGTCTGAGCAGGAGAGTCTCAGGAGGGGAATCACATCACAGTAGAAGTGGGGGATCACATTGTCTGCACAGAATGAGAGCCGAGCCGTCAGCAGGGTGTGCAACAGAGCATTCAGGTTGGCAACAACCCAAGATCCAGCCAGCAGCACAGCGCAGAGCTGATGAGTCATCTTTGTGCTGTAATATAAGGGGTGGCAGATGGCAACAAAGCGATCATAGGCCATCACAGCCAGGAGGAAATTGTCCATATCAGCAAACATAAAAAGGAAATACATTTGTGTGAGACAGCCAGAGAAAGAGATGGCCTGGCTACCAAGCATGTGATTAGCCAGCACCTTGGGGACAGAGGTGGAGGAGAAGCAGATGTCCACAAAGGACAGGTTGCTGAGGAAGAAATACATGGGGATGTGTAGGCGATTGTCGGTGCTGATGGCCAGGACAATGAGCAGGTTCCCCAGGACAGAGGCCAGGTACATGGTCAGGAATAGCCGGAAGAGGAGCTGCTGCTGCTGGGGCTGCCTGGAGAGGCCCAGGAGGAGGAACTCAGAGATGCTGGACTGGTTCAGGTTTCTCATAGTCTTGCATGCAGTTGCAAAGAAGAGAGATTGAGGTCAGAAATGCAGAACCTAACTGCTTAGGTGGAACAAGTCTTCTGTCCTTTGTCACATTAGCCCAATCTTCATTAGAGCTGCTGAGTCTACTTTCAACTCTCAATCCCAGATGACAATGGCCCAATGGACACATTCTTTTACTTTAACAAGATACAACATCAAAACAAAATATAGAGGCACACACTCTTCCCTGTAAATATGTAGCTCTCTGTTATAGAGGTAACTGCTAAGCATTCTCCTACTCTTCGTCAGCTCACAAGGACAAGAGAAACAACTGATTATCTCTCTGCTTATTTTAGACTCCAGAATATGAATTCACCAACTGTGTTATTGCTCCCTGTATGGAGAAGGGTGAGCACAGGTGGTTCGTTAGAGAACATCCCACATTAGTAAAGAAGTACTGGCATCTCCACTCTTCTGCTAGGACCTGGAGAGGCCAGTGCTGGTATCATCACATGCCCTTCACCTTGGGGTTGTCGGTCAGTTCTCCTCTTTAATCTAAGGACTGGAAAATCTCAGAGACACAGGCAGTTTCTGAGCCAGAGAAGAGCAGATAGTCATGGCCTAATGTGCTCAGTAGGAAGGATGTTTGGCATAATTAAACAGTTATCTACAGTAGCATTTATGGCCATTGGGACTAGATCCCTGAGAGTCTCATTAGAGACGAACACAAAGTAATTGTCCCCCTTATTTCTTGATCCCGGTGGACCAACAAGGATCACAAAGTTTATCATCTAACTCCTAGGTCAGAGCTTGCAGATCAAGGAATCTATTCAGACGCATGTTTCAGAGAACACACCTTAGACTTCAAAATTGCAGAACCTGCTGATCTCAGGTTATACTTAAGGGTTTGGCAAGTCAATTATTAAAATGTTTTCTTCTACGTTTCCTTAGCTGAGAGGCTGGAGCTATTTCAGTGTTATCAGTGTAAACCACTCCACTTTATGTCTGGTATCTTGTCATTTACTGCATAGAGTTAATGCCACATTTGCAGACAGGAGGCAGAACGGGGACAGTGAGGAAAAGGTAGCAGTACAAAGTTGAACTTGATCCTTTAAAATATTTGATGCAAAGGGTAATCTTTTTGTAGATATGGAGTGGTTTTCATCTTTATTAACTTTATTGGTACATTTTAGGTATACAATACAGTTAATTCATCTTTGGGATCTTGTACCTTTACACGACTTATCTTGGTTATTTTTCCCCATTCCCCAGCCCTCCTTTTACCCCCTCCACCCATCTCTGTTTACAAAGACATTGTTTCCACGTTTTTCTTTTTCACATATTTTTTCCTTTTCCCTTTTTACTTTTCCCATACCCCTTCAACTTCCTCTACTTTTTTATACATTTTCTTTGTATTACACAATAGCAATTGTACATTGTGATCCTTATTTACACTTTTAATTTTTCACATCACAGAAACTATTTGGTATTCATACGTGTGACTTATTAATTTCACTTATGAGTATGGCCTCCATATGCATCCACTTAGCTATAAATATCTTTAGTTTCTCATTCTTCATGGCTGAGTAGTACTCCATTTTAAAGAACCACATTTTTTTATTCAGTCTGCAGTTGATGGGCGATTGGGCTAATTACAAATTTAAGCGGTTACAAACTGTGGCAGTGTAAACATGGGTGAGCATATATCACTGTGGTATGATTCTTTGCCTTTTGGGAAAATACCCAGCAGAGGAATAGCTGGGTCAAATGGGACTTCTAATCCTAGTTGTTTGCGGTATCTGCAAATTGATTTTTCACAGTGGTTGCACCAGTCTGCACTCCCACCAACAGTGGAGAAGGGTTCCTTTCTCCCCACAACCCTGCTAGCATTTGTTATTGGTTGATTTCTTGATAGCAGCCATTCTTTTGGGATGAGATGGAATCTCAGTGTTGTTTCCATCTGCATCTCTTGAATGACCTGTGATGTTCAACATTTTTTCATATATTTATCTGCTGCTTTTACTTCTTTGAGAAATATCTGTTCATTTCAGATGTCCATTTTTTAATTGGGCCATTATATTAGGAGAGTCTCATTTTTTTTTAGTTCTTTATATGTTCTTAAACAAATAGTTTTGTTTCTTTTTTTTTGGTACCGGGGATTGAACTCAGGTCCTTGAGTTTGCAAGGCAGGCCATGGAACCACTGAGCTAAATCCCTGGCCCTGATTTTTTTTAAACAAATACTTTTTTTTTTTTAATATGTTCTTGATAGTAGACCTTTTTCTGAGGAAAAGTTGGTGAAAATTTTTTCCCACATTGGGGGTTGTCTCTTCTCTCTACCTGTAATTTCTCTAGCTGTGCAGAAATTTTTTTAAAAGAAGATATCCCAGTTGTTGATTCTTTGTGCTGGTTCCCATGCTACTGAGGATGTGTTCATAAAGTCTTTGCCTATGCTAATATCATAAAGAGTTCTACTTCACTCATCTACCAGCTAGTTTATTGTTTCTGTTTTAATATTTATATCTTTACTCCACTTGGATTTTACTTTAGTGCATGCTGAAAGATAAATGTCCAGTTTTAATCTTTGACAAGTTAAAATCCAGTTTTTCCAACAGCATTTATTAAAGAGGCTCTCTTTCCTCGAGCGAGGATGGTTGGCTCCTTTGTCAGTTATGAAGTAGCTTCAGGCTGGTGATTTATCTCTGGGATGCCACCCACTGCCTCACAAGCTGAAGGACCCAAGTTCAATTCCCTTTACCAAAGGGGTGGGGGAGAAAAGATGAGGTAGCTCAGTATGTCAGGAGTTGCTTCTCCATTTTCTAATCTGTTCCACTGCTCCTCAGGTCTGTTTCTCTGCCAGTACCATGCTGGTTTTATCACAGTGGCTTTGTAATATAGTTTCAATTTGGAAACTGTGGTACACTCTGTCATATCTCTGTTGCCTAGAATGGCTTTTGCTGTTCTAGGTTTCTTCTGATTCCAAATGAATTTTTGGATTGTTTTCTCTAGTCCTGTAAAATATACTGTTCAGATTTCAGTAGGGATTGAATTGAATCTGTTTACCAGTTTTGGAAGTATGGCCATTTTCACTGCATTGATTCTTCCTACACAGAAACAAGGGATGTATTTCCATTTTCTTATATTGTCTTCTATCTCTTTTTTCAAAGTGTTGTAGTTCTCAATTTGGTGGTCTTTTGTTTCCTGTGTCAGACTGGTTCCTAGATATTTCATGTTTTTGGATTTATTGTGAAAAGGATTGTCTCCCTAATTTAGCTTTCAGTGAGTCTGTTATTTCTGTACAAGAAAGCTATAGGTTTTTGAGTGTTTAACTTATATCGAAGTACTTCACTGAATCTGTCAGTTAAGTCTAGAAGCTTTTTGGTGGAACATTTTGGGTCTTCTATGTAGAGTATCGTATTGTCAGCAAATAATGACAGTTTAATTTCTCCTTTCCTATCTTTACTGCTTTTATTTCTTTCTCTTGTCTAAATGCTGTGACTAATGTTTCCAAAACTATACTGAACAGGACTGGTGATAGTGGACATCCTGGTCTCACTCCTGATTTTAGTGTGGAGGTTTTCAGTTTTTGACCATTTAGTATGATATTGTTATTGGTGTTTCATACATAGCCTTGATGAAGTTGAGATAAAGACCATCTATTCCAATTTTCTGCAGGGTTTTTATCATGAATGGGGATGAATTTTGTCAAATGCTTTTTCTCCATGTATTAAGATGATCATATTTTTTTCCTTGCCTCTGTTCATATAATGTATTATATTTATTAATGTACGTATGTTGGACCATCCTTGCAACCCTGGGATAAATCTGACTTTGTCAGAGTGTATGATCCTCTTGATGACCCTCTGTACTCTGTTTGCAGTATCTTATTGGGGATTTTAGCATCTATGTCCATTAGGGAGATTGGCTTGCAGTTCTTTTTCGTTGGGACTTTCCCTGGTTTTAGAATAGAAGTAACACTTGCTTCCAGGAGTGAATTTGGAAGTATTGCTGCTCTTTCAATTTCACTAGAAAGTTTAAAGTGTCATGGCAGTATTTCTTCTCTAAATTTCTTGAAGAATTCAGAAGTGAACCATCAGGACCTGGGATTTTCATGTTGGTAAATTTTTAATTATATTTTCAATTTCACTAAATATAGTTTGGAGTGATATTGAGGTGTACATGGCATGCCACGATTGAGAAGCTGCATGCTCCTAGAGTAGATTTCTGAAATGGCTTCCCACCTTGCAGTGGCTCACAGTTCTCTACTTATGGCCCTGCAATATATAAACTCCAATGTGTGTGGACTCCAGTCACCCAATTTATACTCTATCATCCTCTCCCCACTGAGGTGTTGATGTTTTTATGGTTTTTGTGTTGTGTTTTTTGTTCTTTACACTACTAGGGATTGAAGCCAGGATCTTTGCACTGGGCCACATCCCCAGCCACTTTCTTCATTAATTTTTTGAGACACAGAATCACTAAGTCATTAAATTGCCCAAGCTAGTATCAAACTTGTGATTCTCCTGCCTCAGTCTCACAGAGTGCTGGGATTATAGGTGTGTCTCAACACAGTTGGCTCCAGTGAGAATTCATGATTGGACAGGGATGGGGAACTGAAACTGTGGACTAGTACACCATTCTCAGTATGACTTGATTTGTACATGTAAATGCAGAAGCTTGCATCTTTCTTCTGGCTGACTCACAGATGAACAATGAAATGTCTATAGATCCAGCAAAACAATGAAAAAATGTACACCAATAGAGAGAAGTAGAGATGAGCTGGAGTAAGGACTGCTGGCTGCCCAGTTCAGGGTTCAAGGCATTTTCTGATGACAGACTAGAATCTACCATTACTCACAATTATTTGTTGCAAATAACAAAAGCCAGGTATTTCTGGGTCAAAGAAATAAAAGTTTTATGGGAAAGATAAAGGATACCTTTCAAAACAAAACCAAACAAAAAGTTGGACAACCAAGATCAAGAAAACTATAAGGTAGCCACAGTGACCCGAATCATGCCACA